GTGTCGAGAGTAATCTCGACAAAGTTGCGCTTCTTCTTGCTCTTCTCGCCCGTCTCACCAGCCTGTCTGGGATCCGTGACGACCTCATCGAAGCGGCCAAAGTCGAACATGACGTCGCTGACGGGGCTGGAGCCCGTGGCGCGGCCCGAAGAGATGTAGCTGAGCAGGTTACCGAGCGTGACGAGACCGACAAGCTTGTGGCCGCTGGCGGACAGCACGGGGAGCTGGTCGAAGCCCTTGTCGCGCATGATCTCGGACGCCTCGGAGCAGGGGCTGGTCGCGGGGACGGACATGACGGGCTTGAGCCGGAGAGCGCGGACGGTGGCGCCCTCGTAGGGGTCGACGGAGCCCTTTGCGCTGGTGGCGTTGCCGTTGGAGGTGGCCTGGGTCTCGAGGCCGTTGACCTCGGGGAGGAGGTCGTTCGCGGCGAGCCAGTCATCGTCAGCGAACTTGGAGAGGTAGGAGCGGATGCTATCGGGGAGAACGACGACGACGGTCTGGCCCTTTCCGAGGCCGAGGTCCTTGACGGCGCGGACCATGGCGGCCATGGCGGAGCCGGAGCTGCCACCGACGAGAAGACCCTCCTCGGCGATAAGGCGTCTGGCGAGCTGGAAGGACTCGCGGTCCTCGGTCTTGTACCACTTGTCGACGAGATCGCGGGAGAGAACATCGGGGATGAAGTCGTAGCCGATACCCTCGACCTTGTAGCCCTCGTTCTCGTGCTCCTTGTTCAGGGACTCGGGGAGGGCGAGAATACTGCCGTGGGGATCGGCAGCGATGATCTTGACGTCCTTGTTGTGCTTCTTCAGACCGCGGGCAATGCCAGAAATGGTACCTCCCGTGCCGGCGCCGGCGACGAGGGCGTCGATCTTGCCGCCCGTCTGGGCCCAGATCTCCTCGGCGGTGCCGAACTCGTGGGCGAGCGGGTTGTCGAGGTTGCCGTACTGGTCGAGGATGTGGGCGTTGGGGATCTCCTTCTCGAGGCGGCGGGCGACGCCAATGTGCGACTCGGGGCTGTCCCAGGCGGCTTGGGTCGGGGTACGGATGATGGTGGCGCCAAGGGCGCGGAGGACGGAGACCTTTTCGGCGGACATCTTCTCGGGGAGGGTGATGATTGTCTTGTAGCCCTTGATGGCGCCAACGAGGGCCAGACCGATACCACTTTTCAACGTTAGTCGTGAAATTTGGTGATTTTAAGCTTCGTTGGGACATACGTGTTTCCACTGGTGGGCTCGATGAGAGTGTCACCGGGCTTGATGCGGCCAGTTCGCTCGGCCTCCTCAATCATGCGCAGGGCGATTCTGTCCTTGACACTGCCGCCAGCATTGAAGAGCTCGACTTTGGCGTAGACCTCACACTCGATACCCAAGCTCTGAGGGATCTTGTTGAGGCGGACCAGAGGCGTGTTGCCGATGAGCTCGGTGGCCGACTTTGCGGTGACGGCCGCGCGAGTGGCGTTGATGGCGTCTCCCATGATTGCGATTGGGATGGGTATAATGTGGTTGGCTTATAGGAGGGAGGCTGATAGAGAGAAAGAGGAGAAGGGAGAAAGGAGAAGAAGTAGGAAAGGAGAAAGTGTAAGAATGAAAATCAGTCCACGGGCTATAGATATGCAAGTGGTAGGAAAAGAGAAACGCAATCGTCGTGGTGGGATGGTGCGAGAATTGAGACGGAGCGAGGGAGAGCACAGGAATCGGGAGTGAAAAATGACCCCGCCAACGCCGAAGATATCCGCCCACCTACCAAAAATGGTCACTTTCCCACCCCTCTGCTACGTCGAGGTACCTTACCGAGCTTACCTAAGGCCCCTGACCATACAGGTACCCAAGACGCTGTTCAGTACCACTGTACCAGTGCAGGTACACCAAGGAGTGACCTGACAGCTTCGGGACAGTGCAACGCAGCGACACAAGGTCCGGGCCTTGCAGCGGCTTTGCGGCGAACGGCGGCGGTAAAGAACACCCCACACGATACATCCAGCGGCACACTTGTCTCTCTTCCTTACGTAAGACAAGCCCAAAAAAGCCCGACCGGTGAAGTTTCTGCCTTTCTTTTTTTTTCTTTGGTGTCGTTCTAGAAATTTTCTGATGCTGCAGGTCGGGCCATTTCCAGTTGTCATTATGTCATCCCGAGCCGACTTTGAATCCCCGTCACTCGGCGTTCCCCGAGTCTTTCTGCTTCATCCGAGGCACGTGGGCTTTACCAGTGTACGCTGTACAGTTTCTGACTCGAGGGACTGCATAAGTGCAGTTCTGGACCTTTTTTGGAACGTGGTCGCCGCATACTCATTGTCAAGGACAATTGCCAACGACAATTGCCAACGAAGTTTTATATGGTTTCGTACATGTGTCTATGTCTCGGCCGGGACACAACTCGGCCGAACGAGATGAATAAGTCCTTCTCCGCGAGCCTTGACGTCTCTTCTCACTCACCCCACTCGCGTCTGTCTCAATTCCACGCAACCATGAACACTGTCAGCATCAAGGGATCACGGTTAGCATACATGTATACGAATGGTAATTTACTTTTCTTGAATTACATGACTAGAGATGCAGCACAGCAGAAGACTTGAGTGAACTCGTCCGCAATTCGGCCGAAGGACCAGCCACTGATTTCCTTCTCGGCAAGCCACCGCCACCAACCAGCATTACCTAAGCGTATTAAGCAGTGTTCATCCGCCCGTGATGGCCCGGGATAGAGCATATGAACCCCATGTAAGTCAATAAGACCAGTTGGCTTTAGAATGATTGAAACGTGACCAAAGTATATAAGGCCGCTACATTCGCATTGTCTGTGTATGATGGTCCTCGGTTGCCTCAGTCATGACGGACCTCGCTGCATCAAAGAAACTCATCGTCATCCTTGGTGGCTCCTATGGCGGTCCATCTACAGCTCACTACCTTTTCAAACATGCCGTTCCAGCTTTACCAAACGCAACAGACTTCAAGGTCGTCCTCGTCAGCCCGTCCGCAGAAGTCATGTGCCGGCCTGCATGCCCACGCGCACTAATATCTGACGATATGTTTCCTCAAGACAAGCTCTTCGTCGACATACCCACCGTCTTCAAGCAATACGATAGTGAAAGCTTCCTTTTCATTCAAGGAACCGCAACAAGTCTAAGCCATGGCGAGAGAGCGGTATCTGTCACCCCGAAAGGCAAGAGCGATCCGGTCACTCTTTCCTACCACGTCCTAGTGATTGCTACTGGTGCATCTACTCCCTCACCTCTCCTCGGTCTCAACAGCGACTATGAGAGTTTACGAAACAGCTGGGCCGATTTCCGCAAGACTTTGCCGAAGGCGAGAAGCATAATGGTCGTAGGTGGAGGGCCAGCGGGTGTCGAGACCGCCGGCGAGCTGGGCGAGCATTTGAACGGCCGGAAGTCGCAACGTCCAAAGGTTCCCATTACCCTTGTCTCATCTACGCCTGAAATCCTTCCCGCGCTTCGTCCTGCTATTGCTCGTAAAGCAGAAGGCTATCTCGCTCAGGTCGGAGTCACTGCGCTGAAAGGGGTTCGGGTAAGGGATGTAGTGCCGGCTGAAGCTGGAATCACAGGAGTGACGACAAATGCAACGGTCACTCTAGACAACGGGAAGACGATCGAGACTGATATCTACATCCCCGCAACTGGCACACGCCCGAACACGAGTTTTATCGACAACGCGCTGCTCCTCCCTGATGGACGAGTCAATACCAACCCCCAAACTCTTCGCGTTGATCCAGCTGGACCTCGCGTCTACGCCATCGGCGACGCGTCTTCATTCGCCAGGCCAGCTATTCACAACATCCTGAGTGCGGTTCCGGTCATGTGCGCCAACATCAAACGAGACCTACTGCTGGCTTCTGAAAGACCGGAGAGCGCCAGTGACAAGGATAGACTATTCGAGGAGGACGTTCGTGAGACTCAGTTGGTTCCGGTGGGAAAGAGCAAGGGGGTCGGTGCCGCCATGGGATATCAGCTTCCCAGCTTTATGGTGTGGATGATCAAGGGTAGGGATTATTGGTTGTGGACGACGGGAAATCTTTGGAGCGGAAAGCAGTGGGCTAAGGAATCTTGACTGCTACATCATGATCGGATCCATGATGTTTCTTCTTTTCTTCCTTCCATGAACGAGTACCTGGTTGGTTTGTATGCTAGCTCTGATATTGGTCGAATGATGAACTGGCGATCTCCAAGATTTCCCTAGCCTCTTCGTGTCGTCCATGTGTCACACGCATCCAGATCTCACAATTTTTGTAAGATGTTCAACGGCAACTATGCCCTCGCCATGACCACAAGGTTTGAGTGACATGCTGAGCAGACTAAAACTGAAACATCTTCCAAGACATCACGAGTGCGGAAGCGAGCATACATGGCTTGTATCCTAAGTAGTGTGGCATCACTGCCAACGCTCTCATCAAAGTACTATCAAGTGGTCGAGGTGGTCTGAATCACCTGGGCAAACTTGGCCAGGGTTGCTAAAGGTATCAATCAAACATGTTTGTGAGTCGGCGGTCCATTTCCAAACGGCAGTAGGTCTTGGATGAGCGCACACACGTTCCTGCCGTGGTGTGGAATACCTTTAGCATGATTTTGTGTTCCATAACTCACTTCCTTGGCCATTATTCCGAAGATCTTAATGGGAAGGCTCAATCGATCCTTGCAGACGCTTAATTACTTCCTTTGTTGGAAATCAAAAGCTAGACATGGGACCGAAGTTTACGTGACTGATCTGCTGTGATAGATGAAGACAGCACCAGGAGCCTGAGGTGAAAAAGTAGAGGGCATCGTGAGGTCGTTGTGTGGATATGGAGGCGGGTGATTGAATCTCTACTTGCCCAATATAAAATACCACACTTCATCCCGCACAAGACAATCTTCTCTCTTTTTCCCCCACCTCAAACTTTAGTATCACAACCAGATCTCAACTTCACCCCATAAAACACCATCCGCACTATCTTTACACGCTCCAACCATCAAGATACAGATCAAGAACATCTCCCTCCTCTCTCTTGCCGCCATGGCTGTCAAAGTAATTTCTTGCAACGTGTTTTCTCCATAAAAGTTTCCAGATGCAACTGACACTTGAAATACCAGGGCGCGACTGTTGACAAGGACGTCAACGGCCCCATGGGTATCGAGGGCTTCGACCTCATGACTGACCATCGAGTGGGAAGTCCAGGCCCACCCCAGTGGCGAGAACCTCACCCTCACCGGCACCGTCGAGGAGGTCCTCAAGGAGCTCCGCACCGTCAACCCCGACTACGGCCAGGAGTTTGGAATCACTGCTCTGACTTCCACCGAGGCCATCGACGCTGCCATCGAGTCTGCCGTCACCCAGGCCGACGATACCTTCAAGGACACCCCTGTCAACTGCGCCGGCTACGACGATGCCGATCGCAAGCGCCACGCCCAGGGTGCCCACTACCTTCTCGACATCAAGGGCAAGCCCACTCTCGGCCCTGGCCCCGGAAGCTGTGACCGTGTCAGCTCCAGCTGGAACTCTGCCATCCACTGGTGCAACATGGTAAGTGGATGCTTCCTCCGACAACTTTATGACATCAAGAACGAGACTGACATTGTGGAAACAATACGGGACAGCAAGGCAAAGACCCCAACTCCTTCAAGGAGATCTCCGATGGCGCCTACTACGTCATTGAGAAGTGCTACCGCGGTGTTGGCACTCTTGTCAGCAGTCGTGCCTTACACAAGGACAATTGGACCGTTGTCGCTCGCTGGGATCGTTGCTAAGTAGTCTCAATGGTCGCCCATTCTCACATCTTATTCGGGAGGTTTACTGAAATTCGGGGTTCAACGCCTAGTGGTGGATATATGCATCGGTGCAGTGCCTTCACCCTGAGAATGAAATTTGGGGGTCGATTTTGGAAGAACAAGGAGAAACACCCAGTCGTTTTAGTCCCAAAGTAGTGGGGCAATCCAAAAGGCTTTCGGCTTACTGACTCATTCCATGATTTCGTGTTCAAGGTACCTGACTCTGTCATACATGGACAGGAGAAACAAAGGATAGGCCTATCTTATCCGCATCCTGGATGACCACAGCGATAAGGGTATCGCATCCAGGCCGGTCCCTTAAATCGATGACAAGGTTCTTGTTCAAAGAGATCGGCCCACTCTGGTCTGTACCGACCATAATGTAGTATTTCGACAATTCCCAAAGCCACCATTTGCGAGACCTCGGCCTGGGACGTCAGCATAAGTTTAAGAACTCTATCCCCCTTCGACGTCTGCGTCCCAGAAAGATGCTTCAGTAATCCCAACGCCATATATAGATCACGCTCCAAGTTCGGCTTCTCGCAGAAGGTAACCTCATCGAGAATGCAGAACACCCTTTTCCCCACAGGCAGCATTTTGATGAGTCTAGCAAATACTCGGCAAAGGGTGTCCATATCACGACGTTTCAGTTGTTCCCTTTCGCATCTTCGTACGATTGATTTGGTACTAAGGTTGAGTTCAATGTTTTCTTTCATTATTTGATCCAGAAGTTGGCACACAAGGCTGGCCATCATTGCTTGAGGGCGGTATCTCTCTGCAGAATGGCGGTCCAGCTTGGCGCAAAACCAGGTGAGGATGAAGGCATCGGTTTCAATTGCGAGATCGTTCGCCACTATCGCAGCAATAACGCTGAAAGTAGTGATTCCATCCCGGGAGTCTTTCGCAGCCTTTTCCAAATCGTTACCATTAAAGAGGATAGACCAGGTCGGGCAGGATGGCTCTAAGTTTCCACGGAATTCCTCGAGAGATGCGTGGCGGAGCAAGTTATTTGTCTTGTACCTTAGTTCATAAGACCCATTAACAAGTTCTTCGTAACTGCGAATACAATCGATGATGTCTCTCGGAACAAGTCTTTCGTCGTAGTTGAGATAATTGAAAATACAATCCGTTATGTTGACCCTCGCTTTTCGTCCCAGTACCGGAGGCAGCGCGTCATTGACATCTTTCATATCGAAAGTCGAAAACTGAGCAGGTACGCAAGGCTGCAGTTCGCTGTAGGCAGGTGTGGAGAGGTTTCAAGGGGGTCGTGGGCATTGTCGGTCATGCTGTAATTACATGTAAGCTTTCTTTGGTATTGGAGAAAACATGGCTTCTAGGCGACTCTTCAATAGGATGAAGTTTGTGGTGGTTGGTAGTATTCAGAAAAAGAAAACTGTTTGGTTTTTGAGTAGTGCTGGTCATTATCGCAATCTGTCGTTCTCGAAACCGTTTCCCTGAACCCCGAGACGACTGCTGATTTATAGAAGGGCCCAAGCTTGAGTCATACTCCATCAATCGGTTGAAGAAGTAGTGGTAATAGGGAGATGGATAGGCAGAGATAGAAATGCGAACAATGAAAACCGAACAGGATATGTGTATGACCCATGACTACGGGGGGAAGTAGAGAAAGGTCGGCAAGTCAAACACCCGTGTCAAAGAGCGTGTTTGATCCCGCGGCAAAAAGCATTGGAGTCTTTCAAATGTCTAGAGAATTACTGCTGGAAATTCCGATGCGTCTCGGGACAAAGAAATTAATCAAGCCAGCCACGCGCGGCTTCTTAAACGCGAGACGAAGATCAGTCAAAAGATATCAAAGACCATGCCCAACAGTCCTTCCGAGAAATGAAAGCCTCGGAGCCAAATGAGCCAATAATTCAAGGACAATCAATGACAAGAAAATCTATTATGAATCATGTGACATCTCACTATAGTGATAGACACTGTGGCTGCAAACCACGTTCCACGTCTTGGTACTACAGACAATCAGGTTGGAATAATGACACCGAGTAGCTCATTGCAATATTTTGAGGTCTGGCACTAGACACAAATGAATCAAAGGGATGTCCATCTCTGCAGATGTTGAGATTCTCGTCTCATCATATGGCCTTCATGATTGGCAGATCTGTATCCCCTGTTAGAGTCAGAATGCTTCGGTTTGGTGGTGCAAGTGGTAAAGAAATATCAATGAGTATCCCTTCAGTTACTGCTCCTACAACTAATAGAACTGCACTGCTATAATTTCAACTCCTTTTATGTCTCCTGAGGTGTGTTTCTCAAGTTACCTTACTTAGTACTTAGAAAAGTATTCAAGAATCACGTAACGCTTTCAGTCATCATTTTGCATATTTCTCACAATAGCGTCATGGCCACAACTGTCATTTGAAACGTGCAATAACGTATTTTGTGTCTCTAATATCTCAACCTCCGCCGGGCCACGAATCGCCTCAGGGTTCCAATCCGGCAGAGAAATCAGGATAGTCGTCACAGGGTGATGGGATCTCTACTTCCTGTGGGACTTTCATGATTTGATCTTCACTTCTGAATTTTTCCTCTATTCCGGAAGCCTCGTGCTTACAAGTCAGAGGTAGTTTGGAATATCGAGGTCCTGTGAGCAGCTCTGCAGAATTGGCTATTGCCACCAGTGCGTTGATAGCCTTGTTTGTGTCATCAGTGTAATCGCAATACTCGTAAGAGCATATTTCGTCGATGACACAAATTATCTGACTTCCTTCAGGAGTCTGTGATATCAGTTTGGCAAATATCTCGCTCAGCACCCCAAGTTCCCATTTACCGATGTCATCCCAGTTGAGCTCGCTATTGATGGACGATAGGTCGCATTCAATCTTCTCAGCCATCATCTGGTCTCGAAGTTTGCACACAAGGCTTGCCATCATCAATTTTGAGGAAAGATTGACTGGCTTATAAGGGTCTGTTCGATCCTCCATTTGGGTATCATCAGCGCAGAACCAGCCAATGACGAAAGTCGGGATACCATCCTCCTTGTTCCGTTTGCATGCGGATTCTTTCATTACAATGGCGGCTAATTTGCCAGTCGTTGAGATCACCTCTCCGTAGTGCTCCCCAGCCATAATCAGCAAGCAACGGGTTGCCTGTGGGTTCCTCCGGACGAATTTCTTGTAGAGATCGTTCTCGATTATCAAGTCCCAAGTTTTTTCTTGGTCAGCACTCAGCTTGGCCTCGCAGAACATCTTGCGATTTTCTTCCATCTCGGCGGTTGATTCTACTCTGAAGTCTAGCTCACTCTGTTCCGAAACTGCCTGTTTTGGACGCAAAGCGTCTATCACGCCTGTCATATCGAAAGGCCATACTCGAGGCGGTGCGGAGGGCCCTGATAAGGCTTCGGGTACCGCATCATCCACGCATGCAGTCAGGTAGCAGGACTCGATATATCCCATGTAATTCTTCGCGTAAGCTTCTTGTTCCATATTTTAAACTCATGCAAATGACTGAAAGTCATAAGTCACAAATCAAGCCGTACAAGGTGTTTCGTTGGTAGTGCTTCGTACTTCTTAGATAGTGAGAGTGAATGAGGAATAATTGGAAGACGGATCGTTGTCTCATCCCCCCAGAGTCCTTCTCCTCTTCTCATTTATAACAGAATCTCCGTGTAGAGAACACCACGGCCGTCTAATAAAGAAAGCTGAACAGAGTGTGAAGGTGAGCGAAGAGAGTGGAACGGACAAAGAAAACCGAACACAGAGTCATCGTGACAGGTTTAACCAGACAAAGCCGACAAACTAGATATCTGCATCAAAGAACCGTGTTCGATTTCGTTTTGATGACATCGGGGCAGTTCAGGAGTCCATGTTTGGTCTTTCCCAATTCTCGCCTGCAAATTCTGGAAAGCTGCTCGACAAAGGTGTTTGTCAACCGAGTTGGCCAAGCGCGACCAGAGGTAGTTCCATACCGGTATCATATCGGAACGGCCGGCCAATGTGTTGATATCATTTGCCATGTTGGGAGGTGAGATAGATCGTTTGTAAGAAGTGAATTTACTATTGTCAACGATGCAGGTAGTGGTAAGTATTGATGTTGTTCAAATACTCAATGAGAATCTACCTTCTATCAGTGTATTAGACTGCCCAATGCTATCACGAGTGGCCCAGAGTGCCGATGATGGGATTACAGCTTTGATAGATTTCGGAAAGCTATGGCATCTTTGTCGAAAGAACTTGCAATCACCATCTTCAGAAGTGTCACCTAAGCTGGCTGGATCACTAGTGTGTCGATATGGAATTAGTAGCTCAAACGCGCAGATGAAGCTAAATACACAGGACATGTCCGAACGATTAGTGCCGACTCTCGAGATTGAGTTTCTTGTCAAATTGGGAAGTATCAGAGTGCTGCCACCTGAACTTTTATCAAGCGTGGTCGTGGCAATCCATCTGACCATCCATCCCAGAGTCCTAGTATGCCATGGACATATTTGATATCGTCCACTGTGCTGATTCATCTGAACCCGTGCTGCCACCCAAGTCGACGATGTTGATGTAGCCAAAATGTTGCGCCATACCCAAAGCTCTATTCTGACAAGTTGTGAGAAGTTTGAAAATTTGCGGTCCAGTGCAAAGTTTCTCAGCCAACCTTGCCAGCTTCCCTATGACTACGTTCGTGTCGCTCTCCAGAACTCGCGTCTCGTACAAGACAATTTCATCAACTATACATAATAAGATACTCCCTTGAGGAAGCTGCTCTACTAGTCTGGCAAAGACCGAACACAGAGTCGTCGGTTTGAGCTGCTCCACATGCCGCCACTTGGAATCGTAGATAAATGATAAGTCGACCTCTACGCCACTGTCGATCATTTTCTCGAGAAGCTGACCGATGAGGCTCGTCATCATTTTGCTGGGGCAGCGATCCGTTCTAGCATTGTTGCCTGCCACGAGGGCTGGCTTATGCTCTGCGCAAAACCAATTGATGACGTAGAACGGTGTCGAGGTATCCCCTGCAGCCATGAAGCTTTGCGTCGCCTGAGCAGCTACAAGACTGAGCGGTGAGATACCGTCAACGGCAGCGGTGTCGTCTCTTCCATTGACGAGAAGACAGCTTGACGACGTTGTATTCGTCATGAATGACTTGAAACTTTCGTGTCTTATGAGGGTGGCTGCTTTGGCGATTTGTTTGCCAGTCAGTCTACTGCCAAGACGAATTTGAGTGGCCACGTCCCGTGGAACAAGGCTTGGGTCGTATTGAAGAGATTCAAGTAATCGCTCTTGTGATCTTCTAGCCTCCGCTTGTCGTTCGTCGGCATTCGCCCGCGTGTTCGGGGATATCGATGTCCCGGGAAGGATGTGGGTTGCGTTCACCATGTCGTAAGCCGAAATTCGTGGTTGTGAGGAACTAGATTGCTGATCAGATTGTTCTACATGAGATCACGTTAGCTTATCGCGTGGAATGTCTGTCCAAGAGGGGGAGGATGCAAGCAAAAGTGGAGGGGTAAGGGAGGATAAAGAATATGACCAGTTGAGTGAACATAGGAAGTTAAAGAATCAAGGAGCGAGGAATACGGGTGTTGAACATGCAGGGAAAGATTGGAGAGCTTGGGTACCTAAACCTAGATTCGTCTCCAGTAGTTTGAAAAATCTCTGAAAAAAGGGGGCCAATGTCTTCGATTGTTGATTCATTTCAGATAGAAGGCGAATGCTCTCATGTGTTTCTTGAGCGTGACATTGCTGAGCCTCGTCTCTGAACGCTCTGACCTTAGTTCTGACGTTCTCAGTACTTTTCTGGAGATCTTCTTGGTATGCTCCCTGCTTGAGCCAAGCATGGGTCACATTTTCTAGATGATTAATTAGTTAGTAAGTCATAGCCTGCTTGGGAAAGATCATTGTTGATTAGTATCTGGAAATCGGAAGGCAACCTACTGAGCCTGCTGTTGAGAAAGAACTGCATCACATGAATGAGTGCCTCTAGAACGGCTTGGAACAACTCAAAGCTTCTTTTGTCAAGACGGTGGCCTCCCATGTTCCGATACATTGCCATGTACTGCCTTGAGCTTTCCATCATATCTGGAATTTGTGCCAAGAATTCGAAGATGATCTCCGGGGTGTTGGAGTAGGTCGAGGCAGCCTGGTCTATCGTTAATATAGGGCTTCCCTTGCGTACGTCACCGAAAACATAAGGCAAGGCATACCCCGATGAAAAGCTTGAATACTCCACAGATACTGATCAAAAAACGCGTAAGTGCAAATTTGCATGAAGTCGGCGGGAGTGGCTAATGTCGACATTACCTTGCTCCGTAATCTCCCATCGGCAACAAACTTAACCAAGCTTCCAGAGACTCTGAATGCCGCCCAATTCTATCAATGAAGACCATTCTTTTACTCTCCTGGTTTGGGCTACTTCTCCAATGCTCTGCAGTCCTCTCAACCTCCGTCAAAACTTGAGACCAGCTGCTGCGTCGCAATTCCGATGCCGCGTCGAGTGGGATGTGGGCTGCGCTTTTCTTTTTTGCAAGTTTCTGTTCCACTTGTGTCATTAAGGCAAAAAGGCGTTCCTTTTCCTCATTCGCCTGCTCCCACATTGCTGTGCTTTTGTTGATGAAGAACTTGTTAGTTGAGCCAGTCTTACATGTAATGAAGATACACATGTATTGAAACAGAGAGTGGCAAGCGTCTACCTCGCATCTTTCAGCTTCCATGCTTCATCTGCAGAAACGAAACTTCCACTTTGCTCGCTATACACTGGTAGTAGCTGTCCCGGTGGACAGATTTGATTCTCGATGAAAGATACTGCCTCTTTTTGAGGGTAGCGATCCCTGGAAAGGAGGAACGAATCTCTTTGGCCACTCTCCATGGTCTGAAGTTAATAACCATGAGACTCTTGGGAACAGACTGTCAGTAATGATCAGAACGAAAGGACTGGGCCTGCGTACATCACATCATCTCCAAGAGAAGGCTAGGGATGATTATGAGTGCAGGACATGTGGCAATTGAATTTCGACACCCTAGCTGGAAGGAGCTACTGTTGCCTCAATAGCCGCTGAATATTACATGACTGCATGGTGGTACCAATCTTTATTGGCTGCGCGTAGTTTGACCAACGCATTTCAAGCAGGCTGTAGGCAGGCTTACGGCATCCTGTGACCCTCCATCAATCAAGTGTGATACATTACATGCAGAGGACGATAGTGCTTCTGAAAATTAGCCAATGTGAGTGTCTCGTTCTTCTGTACCTACCGGTGGCATTTGCAGCGTCACCAAATGTCGGTATTGACTGGATACAGACAGTGCGGAAAGAGATGACACCGAAGCCCCTTGCTAACCGAGAGCCTAGGACCATCACTCTCTCAAGTGCGGCGGTGTCTTCCTACACATTTGAATCCGGTGTCGGTCTATAGTCCCGTCGTACTTAAAGGAACGCTGTCATACGGGGGATTTCTGCCTTTTAGACCCTTCCTTCTACGGCTTTCTCATCACCATTGGTTTCTGCACAACCTACCTTACCTGGATATGCCGCCAGAACTATCGCAAGCAGCACGAGAAGATTCTGTCATTGCCACGAACAAGGATTTCCAGCAAAAAGATCACGAGGAAACCTCCGAAGCTAATAAAATGCCGGAGTCTGTCTGCGGTTCCGAGAGTGAGAATGTCGACCCGACGAGCCAAAAAGCCGATACTCCGAGTTCTGAACAAGATGGTCACTCATCAGCGGATCAAGAGGATGTACCCTTAGAAGACACAGTGGAAGAGGATGAAGGCGAGGTAATAAGTGCGGCCCATCGAGCGGCGTACCCGAATGCGACACAGGTGCGTCATGTATTCGAAGAGGAGAAAGAATCCGGCCGGATGAAAATGCGATACCATCAAGCATCTCTACACCACACATTTACCAACTTGCGGATTGAAGATCTCGAGCGCGGTCTCAAGGAGCTGAAAGCTGCTTTTGAGAATCGCAATGACACTTGGGAAGCCCCGAAAAGGACCAAATTTCCCATTCATCGACATGAACTGCGGAGGTCATACGCAAATCAGTTTCGCATCACGCGGCTGACGGCTATGCTGCATTGCGCTCAGCAACCAGCCCTAGAAGTACAAGTCACCGAAAGGATTCCACCTACTCTTTTGACCTTGGACAATGAATCGCACAGTCTGTCTCACCAAACGCCTGGGAATGCTGAAGGTATACCGTTGCAAAGCGGCTCTCTGAAGACCCCAGAGCGTCTGCGAATCAGGTCGTGGTCTCTTTTGTCACATCTCGAGAAGATAACTGGACGAGCTATAATGGGCCTTGCACAGTCGACTAAGATGGACGGTGTAAAGGTGCACAGCGGCGTCGCGTTTCTCCGGCCTTTCAAATTCTTCGCCGAGCACCATGATGCAATCAGGAAGAGTCAGGCTGAACTGGAAGCTTGGATGCACACTGGCACACCCTCTAATCGCCGAAAAGAATCTCAGAAGCAAGCGGCTGAGCCTATTCGCGAAAGTCCGACTCAGCATGACTTTGATGATAAGAACCTTGTGGAAGATTTGAAGCTACTTGTCCACTTTCTTGATAACGACCTTAAGTCCACCTTGGACCTGCGCCAAAAGGTCAAGGATGGAACGGCGCTTGAAATCGAGTATGACGATCTTTGGCATCTCTTTGCACGGGGAGATATCGTTATTACGCCTTCTGACCCCAATCAAGCTTACCGAGTCATCAACATGGCGGGCGGTCGCGAGCCACTGCAGTACGAAGCTAGGTACCCGCGAAGTGACGTGGAGAAGCCTGTTCCTGTGGACGGTTTTGTTCTGGACTGCTTAAGCTTTGGATCCGATGGCACCGCATACATTCCAAAACTACAGAGACTCCCAATTCATCGGTTTCATGGGAAACGATTGATTACTTCGTTACCCGTTTATCCTTTGCGGTTCGACCCGAAGCAGAATACATTACGAGCCGAATTCGAAGCAATGGGCACGAGGTTCCTGGACTTGACTCGAGAAACAAGTTGCCACAAGCTGGCTCGTGGCAAGACACTCGATGAGCCATCTCATGACTTAGACAATCAAGTCATAGTCGACATGCGCCTCGCGATGACGGCTAAAACTGAGTGGAGAATGAAGACCAGTATATCGTCGGAAGAGCTCACACGAAGGGACAAAAGGGAGACTATTGAAGGATCCTGGTGTTATCATCGTGAACCAGGTTGTTGCGGTGGCGATGTCATTTTTAACGACCTCGTATACGATGAAGAGCATGCTGCCGCCTTCGGTCAGAAACTGACCAGGATGTTAGGTCCGTTGCAGGAAGAAGATCTGACAGAGGAAGATTTGATGTTAATGCAGCCTTACGTCTACGCCTTCGTTCTTCGATCTAGACAGTGGGCAACCATCTGGACAACAGACCTGAAAGAAGTTGTGTTTGAGAATAACTTCAACGACCTCGTCATTTCTGAAGACCACAAGGAGACTGTCAGGGCACTGGTAAAAACGCATGAGAACAAGCGGGCCGCAGAGTCATCTCCTGGCGTCTCACGTAGCGTAGGAACAGCGTTGGATCTTGTCAAGGGCAAAGGGGCTGGCCTTGTCATTCTTCTCCACGGTCCGCCTGGCGTGGGGAAGACGTCGACGGCTGAGTGCGTTGCCGATGACACCCATCGACCTCTCTTCCCCATTACATGCGGCGATATTGGAGAGACGGCGGCCGAGGTTGAGACCAACTTGCAATATAGCTTCAAGCTTGCACATAAATGGGGTTGCGTGCTATTGCTGGATGAGGCTGACATCTTCCTCGCGAAGAGAGTTCGAGACAACATCCGTCACAATGCCGTGACGAGCGTATTCCTTCGCACACTTGAGTACTACGCGGGGATTCTATTTCTTACCTCCAACCGTGTGGGAGCCATCGATCCAGCATTCAAGTCAAGGATTCAGATGTCTCTCTCCTACAACGATTTGGATCTCCCAGTGACTCTCAAAATTTACGAGAAGTTCATCAAAAGAGCCAAAGAAGAGCAGCGCAGTACGAAGACCCAAAACTTCAAGATAAAAGAGAAGGAAATCATGAGCTTTGCCGAAAAGCACTACAATCGCCTTGAGCTTGAAGGACGATACACGTGGAATGGAAGGTATGGTTATGTCTCCCTCGCCCAGCTTTCGAGTAATGTCTTTCAATGTCTAGAATCGCTAAGTTTACTGACAACCAAATGATGTAGACAAATCCGAAACGCTTTTCAAACAGCCATTGCTCTAGTTGAGTACCAATACATATCAAAAGAGGCAGACGAGCCCAAACCCAGTCTTGGCAAGAAGCAATTCAAAAAGGTTGCAAAGGGGTTCAAAGAGTTCGACGACTATCTCATCAATGTGAACGGAGCGACTGAGGCAGACGAGGCTAGACGCGAGGGCTGGCGATATGATGTTAGGAAGACCGTACCTTCGCCGACGCCGCACAGATTCACCCAGGCTAGTCGCTTCCAGCAGGGTTTGAAAAATCCTGCGCGAAACCTCGAGTCTGAAGATAGCTCCGAGACAGAGAAAGAAAGTGACGAGGATTCTGAGGACGAGGCCAAAGATGGAAGAGGATCGGAGAAAAAAGCTACCCCCAGCACCGTTGGACGTCAATCTCTTGCTACCGCTGGAGTGTCCCTTGACATGGAACAGTACCAACAATTTCTCAAGTTCCAACAGATGATGTCCGGTGGTGGTAAATAAGAGTTAGAAACTGCAGTGAGCATACGAATGACTAGGAAAGTGACAGTAGAAACAACAAGGACTAGACTTTGAGTTTAATCTACTCCTGCCATGCGGTGCCCATGAGATTGATCCTATCGTGAATCAGGAAACACACGAGAAACGGCTGGTTTCTTCATTTAATTACCGAGCAAGATCCGATTGACATCACGGATTTTGCGCACTAGACATTGCGGCCACGTGAACTGCCATGCGTGCCATGAGGCAAACGAACGCAGGCAGCATCTGCAACACAGCCTTACAGCTCCACTATGCTGCAACCACATGACGTTCACAGATTTCAAAGCTTTCAACCAACCAGGCTCTCAGTTGCACAGTTGGTTTTGGCCAAGAGCTGGTTGGAACCCTTACTTCTGCAAGTCATTCGTTTCCCCTGAAAACAGCATCTCGCAAAAAGGTCCAGCAGACGCCCTATGGGGGTCGCCTTGCCAGCGAAAGCACAACATTGGCCAGTAAGCGGGAATGCGGCATAACCGAAGTGATGCCTGGCCACCTATCAGAAGGTGGACATGGTTGATATATTTCAGCCGCGCCCCAAAACATCAGATATG